TCGTGCTGTAGTCGTGCAATAAACTAGAATAGAAAGAATCTCCAATCGAAAGAAGTAAAAAAAATAAATAATAAATCGATGACCGATAAATAAATAAAATTCTAAGAAATCACATGTCATTTCACGAAATGTAGACAAGATAATACGACGCGTGGATAAAAAGCGACGGGGGTGAGGTTTATCCATTCCGATTCGCGAGTCCATACGTCATGATGCGTCATCTTACGAAGTAATCTCTCTCCTGAGAGGTTCACGGTCTCGATTCACGGTCATTCAACAGCCACCTCGGATCGATCCATCTCGCGCATCTGATCTTCAACTTCTGCCATCGTATTTGCCCGGTTATCATTTCTTCGCCCCTTCAACTCGCCACCAATATCTCGGTTGTCGGTTTTGCGGGACATTCTCGAGCGGCGCCTCTCTCTCTCTCTCTCTCTCTCTCTCTCTCTCTCTCTCTCTCTCTCTCTCTCTCTCTCTCTCGTGGAGAGTCACGACACGGCGCGTCCTGCCTATTTCTCTCTGTGCTGGAAGGATGCCGGCGCCTAATCGTCCTCGAGAAATTCAATTTCGACGATGCCGATGGCCGGCCTAACTCGAAAGACGCATCGGTATCCAGGCCAAAGACCTAACCTACCGCAGCCCTCTCTCGCGTACTTCGCTTCGACCGAAACTGCCAGGCCACGGCGACGACGATCGATATACTCGCGTTCCGAGAAGCTCTCCTTCCGCGCGAGTTCAAGAATCTCAAAACTTTCACATCGATTTTCCTCGTGATCGCGATAACGTGTCCGGCAGTCGTCACGATCCAGACTCGTATACGACACCCGCGTATAACTGCGGATTAATTGCCTCCCGTGATAATCGTGCTAGTTGCAAATCAGTGCTAAGTCACACTTGCGGGATTATCGACGATACGTGGAACATCGAAAAATTATGCTCGCACGCAACTCAATCAAGTCATAAATCCTTCATCTCAATCTAGGAAATGTTTTCATTATTTCCAAGTGTTAAATAAAAATGAAGTTTCGTGCGAAGAGAAAGGAGTTTTAAGACAAATAACATTTTCTTTATATATTATTATACAAGTTTCAGCTGTTTAGTCGGCGATTAAAAGACTTTGAAAACTTAATGTTATTTTTATCTCAACCTTCGTTTATTTTTAATCGATCCTTAAATAATTCCAACGGAGATTTAGATAAATTCTTACGACACAACAAAGCGTCGTAAAATTGGTTGCACCGAATGGGACATTTCCAGAGCAGATTATGGCAATGAAATATCTAGTAAGGATGGCGCGATAATAACATTTGAGAGAGAGAACTATATCGCTTCGGTAACTCGCAACAGATGTTCATCGACGTGCGTTTGACGTTGCGGATTAAACGCCTTACTTGGCCGGCTTATTTACGTGCCGGGGCGCTAACTGCTGAGTATACGAAACGTCTTTTGCATTTTCAATGAAGTTGTCGGGTGCAACGCCTACGGAACACCGTCGGTCGAGTGAGAACAACGACAGCGGGACAAATTATTCTAACGCACGCCACGTCCGCGCCCTAGACGTGGTATAGTCGTGAAAATTGCAGAGACGATGATACACACGCAATCAATATAAACGCACGCTCGAATTACACGCATCCAACGACGACGACGGTCGAAAATTTAACGGGGCGATATTTATCTTTTTCGTCATCCTCTCTCTCTCCCGCGGTGGCAAACTCTCGTTACCGAAATACAACATTTATTTCACCGCGCGGGATTGCGGCTAATTGCGAAATTAGTTTCGGATTTTCATACACCGGCACTACCGTCATCCAGTTTGTTCCAACGACCCAAAAGCCCAATTCATGACAAAATAAATTTATTCCGTGGCCGAATCCGCGCCGCAGCGCGAGTACATATTCCGCTCGTCTAATTTCTGTCACTGACGAATTCCATTAACCGCTTTGAAACATTTAGAACGACCGAATTCTCGGACAAGGATCTTCTGGACGGAAAATCGATACCGCTGATTTCCATGGTCGGTGGAGTACACCCTCATCCCCGGATCGTGATCGACTTTGGTTTCCGTGCCATCGTGCTCTTAACCAGCCAGCGGAACAGCGGTTACGCGACAGTAAATTCTTGCGTGGTTCGAGAATACGTAATTGGCCAACACACGGAGGAATGGGGTCGAAAGAAGCAAAGGAGATAGAGAGAAATAGAAAAGAGGGGAGCAGGGGAGGGGGGGGGGAGGAGAGAAGTATATAGAAATATGGAAGGCAGACTTTCCGACAAGGCGGTAACGCCGGACCGTAGCAAATGTAGCCGTTAATTGCAATTCCCATTTACACGAAAGTCGGATGTACGGATATGCCGCGTGTATGTATAATGAGCGTGTAACGCTCGGCGACTATGTGAGGTACACGACCGGGCGGAGGTATACGTACTACTACACACACACACACACACACACACACACACACACACACACACACACACACACACACACACACACACACACACACATATATATATATATATATATATGTAGGTACGCCACATACCTTAGGTCTAATTCGTAGGGCGCGGTACCACTATCTCTTCCATGCCACGACCTTTCTTCTCGCGCGCGCACACGGTTCATTTATCCCGTCCTCGCTGCCGCTTGCCGAATTGCCCGGGCGTTACAGTCGGGAGCGCGCGATATTCCGTAAGTGTTCATTAAAGCCGACGGTATTCCGTAGAAACGTTAACGCGACGAGCGGCGCGGCGACGGGCGACGGGCGACGGGCGACGGGCGACGGTAGATTTATACCGAAGGCGGAAGGACGTTAGGTACCGATGATGGTAGCTAGCATAGCGTAGCCGGGCGCGGTTTCCGCGTGCGTCCCGACGGTTTGACACGCATTAATTAATGGTCCCAGCGCTATCTGGGTTACGCGTTGATTCATAATTAATCTACACGACGATAACGTAGCATTTAATATTCGCATACGTCGCCGGTGCAGGCGCGCGGATGAAAAATGTGCATCGCATCGGTGAGCGCGTCGCGCGTAGCGTCATTACGTATACCGAACGAAAATCATCAATCCGTATCGTCGGTCGCCCCACACCTTCTACCCTGTCGAACACGATGACGTTCCACACCCTCCGATCAATCAGATAAGGTCGACGGTCACGCGTGGCACTAAGTTAATGCCGTTCGCCAAGTCGCCGTTACCGGGATCGTGATACACGATATTTCGCACTATCTTTCCTCGCGTTGTAAGAATAGCGCCTCGCTGGCCAGCTCCACGTACATCGGCGAGGAGATACAAATTGAAAAATGTGAACTCGACTCCCGAGCTGCCGAGCTTGAGAACGCAGCTTGGGAACGCGGCGCACAGCGGAGTCTTCTTCTTCTTCAAAGTAACATCCACTTTTACCCCGGCTCCCCTTTATGCGTTCCGCTACCTGGGCAAACCAGAGGGAGCGAAATAGGACATTGTAAAATCCTCCGAACAACCTCTGCACCGATTGCGGGATTTAAACGACTACCGCTCTGTCACGAGGACCCATCGACTCTCTTCCGAGACGCGTTCTCCAAATCGTATATCTCATTAATGACAAGCAAAACATCGAGATATCTATTCTTGTCGTCTGACGGTTTTTTGAGAGAAAGAGAGAGAGAGAGAAGGAGGGGGGAGGGGGGAGAGAGAGAGAGATATTAATTCCGAATATCTACTTAAAAACGATATAGAATATCACGTACAAGAGGGTACTTTCGCGTTCACACTGAACGTGTTAATGAAAACTAAATATGTATGTCCTATTATCTCCCCTGTTTTTGTAGTATGGAATTAATTCAGAGATAATACGGTCTTACTCGTCATCGTACTCGCAAAAAATCACGTGTTTATAAAAGTCATAGAAAAAAATTTGATGCGCGTAGATATGAATAAAATTACAAATACAAAAAAATAATGAAGACAAATTAATGGATTTAAATATATGATAATATGTAAATACGATAATGGTATAAGGTTTATAAATGATATCCATGACAAATTGATGAGACAGATTAATGGTTAAATATGACAATATGTAGATACAATAATGACATAAAGTTTATGAATATTATCCATGGTAGATTGATGGGACGATGGGATACCGGTGTCACAGTTCGTTATTCCAATAGCTCGAATTAATCCAAAAAGTCGAGACGATTCGCCATGAGAGAGTATAATGCGTCGTATAATTCTTTTATTTTTCGCCAACGGGATATTCGCAAATTTTCATTATCATTAAAACCGCACGTACGTTAAGAATTCAGACCATATATTTCCGCGTATTTGCGTTAGCGCGAAAAGTCCATCGCGAACGTTAATTAACGTTTTCACAATTTCCCTGCTATGAGTTTGCACCGGTCAACCCGGAAAGCCTTGCACAATCGAACTTTTGTAACGAGGCTTTCGATTTTCTACTAACGCTGCTTTGTCGGTCGGCCCGGTTCAATTTTTTTCCATTTCCATTTGTTTGCAACTTTACACTACGTATTATTACACGCATACACAATTTCAAATATGCACAATGTTGATGTACATTCCTTCACCATTCGAAAAACGATCGATATAACATTTATAGCCGGCGCACTGTACCGAGAGTCAATGGCAGAGCATTTCTCCGTGAGACTATATTTACGAGCGGCGATCGAAAGGTTGAAGTAATTTTGATGTCACGTCTCGCGCGCACGGCGTCGAATAGCGGGGACACTGTTTACCGGAAGTCTCTATAGTCTCTCGGCAATTTCTTCGCGAGAAGCCGCTATTTTCTTTGCACACACTAAAAATAAGTTATTCTTCCCCTCCGTATCAATACCGTTATTTTTATAGTAATATTTTTACATCCCTCTTATTACATAAGTTTAACAAAGATAGTACGAGTCAACGTAAGAATTTTCCGGTTTATCGTGCAAACGGCCAACAACGACGTATACCGAAAGTACCTAAAATTATCTAGAGAGCCGGACTCGGTGTACTCACCATAAAGTCCCCCCGCCGTGGTAGCCTTGAAGACGACCCATATGAGATAAGCATAGATTATCCGGCCGCCCTTCCACGCATCCATGATGCCCATGGTTTTATCGGTGTCCCTTTCGAAACCACTTCGACCCCAATCTAACTCAATCGACGTTGATTAGAATCGCTCACGCACTCCCTCGCACCCGTATTCCTCCTCTCGCTTCCCCCCCTCGTCCTGCCCCGCGGGTCGTTTCAGGTGCCTAAATGCGAGTGTCGCCGTGCCGACGAATCCGTACGGACTTCCGGTAATCGAGTCCGATCCAAAACGAGTATCCCACGCCGCACATATTTCCCTCCGCCGACGAGTCGTCGTTGTCTCTCCCTCTCCGAGAATCGGATCCGTATAACGGCGGCGGACTGGACCACAAACAGCGCGAAATTTTTACCGTACCGTGACAGGACGCGATAACAGGACGTTGTACAGGAAGTTTCGTTACACTTACGATCGGCCGTGTAACGACAAGCGTCGGGGCACGAGACCGCGGGCACGCGATCCGCCACCCGTGTGTACGTGTGTATTCGTTCACTGCTCGAAAGAATGAGAATGAGCAGGCGCGCACGATATAAACGAAAGCCGACGAGGGAGGAGTTACGAACAAGCGCGATATAACAAAGCCGACACTTTTCACATTCACTGGATTTGTATGCGTCGCGTCACGAGCGCACGGATACGCCTAAGCGCCACGGCTGTGTGCTCCGATCTCATTTTTATTAAATTAGTTTTAATCGTAATTAGTTTTACAACGTTTCGTAAATTTCTCTCAGATTTCCTCTCCTTCCGCGTCTCCTTGGGATCCCCCTTTTTCGGCGAGCTTTACATCCGCGCGGCTCGATCTCACGGAAGTAGGGGCGCTCGTTTCTTTTGATCGATTCGCGAGCTAAATCCGATCGTCGGGATATACACTGGTACGCGTATTGGCAATATCGCGCGGAATCCGTAAGCTAATGTAGCGATTGGAGATTGGACGTGCGCCATTGACGATACGCTCCGCCGCGATCGTTCGTGCGACGCACGATCGCTTCAATTATTATAAATGAATCGCGAGAGAGCGAGATGCGCGTCTTGCGCGCGGCGAGCTCTCTTCTTTTCGGGAGAGATTCCCTCAACCACGTCGTTCCGCCTCGCGTAATCGCGCGGCGGAATCAGCCCTCGGCGAGGAGGATTCCTCGGTATCTTTCAACGGAGCGGAACTAACGGCCGAACTTTCGCCGACGTTACGTCCGAAAGCATCACTCATAGGTAGAATCTCGCGCAGTCTTCCACGATGCACTGTGAAAATCCCCGTGAACCAACACTGCCAATTTTCCGGGCAAGCTGGCCCCAAAGTCCCGTCCAACTTGGAAACCAAACACAAGGAACTTTTCTTCCGCCACTCGCAAAAATTCCCGAAATTTGCGCGGTCCAGAGACAGTCCAGAGCGTCCCTTCGAAAACGTTCATGACATTTGTCAGAGGTTGTTCCGTTCTTTCTCTCGTCCTCGCTCAATTCACAGAATTCACTGAGCCATGCGGATATCTCCTCCCAACCCCCTTAAAATCTCATTTCTCGCTTTGTTCAATGCTAAAAAGCCGGCGATTCGAAGTCGCCGTTGACCTCTCCCGGAAATCGATTGCAGGATCAACGCGAAAGCCCTTGATCCGACGTCGGTCTTCTTCTACATGACTGCCAAATCTCGATATTCCTTCCCGCCTTAAAGCAGTCCTCTATACTAGTCTAGTCTAGTCATTTTAGAAAAAAAAAAAAAGAAAACCTTGATCGAAGTCGCGCCAGAGAGTTTCTGTTCCAAGCGTTTCTCGTTCTTTTGTGTCGATCTATAGGTTCAACGAAACGTTTACGCATCGATCGTCCGCGTACCTAGGTATATCCGTCGCGTTAATCGCGCCAGGCTGAAGAGAGACCGCCGATCGCAAGTAAATCGGCCTCTTCTCGCGTTCCCTCCCGGACACTGCCACCAGTTCCGCGGTGCGTCAACATTCAACTGCAAAGTTTGATCGCGAACGAGTCTCTCTCTATATCTCGATGCCACGCGATCGCCGAAGTTTTAAACACACGTGCAAAGTCACGATGGATTATAGGTCTGCCGCGTGTATCACTGTAAAAGTAAAGCCGAGACTAGTAGCCGATGCGGAAAGTGGACTCGCGAGTTCGGCTATACGGATAAGAAGAACGCGAGTACAGGACGCCACGAAGTAAGAAGATGTAAGGGAGAGAAGAAGAGAGAGAAAGAGAGAGAAAGAGAGAGGGAAGAGAGAAGACGCGAACGCGCAAGGCGGGAGACTGGGATACACACATTCAGGGCTGGTCGTCGAACCGGTTTCCTTCTAGAGATCGCAACCGGCCAATTGGAAATACCACTGACAACGAGTCCGTCGGCCGGCCGTTTTACGATCTCGCTGATCGCCGCGGCCAGAGATCCAGATAAAACACGACCGCCGCGTCGCGTTGAAGCCGAGCCGAGCCGAGCCGAGCCTGAATACGACGAAGCGACGTGCGACGATCGCGGGGAACCTACTGCCGGCGAGATCGAAGAATTTCCACGGATGAATCGGGCGTACACGTCGTTGACGTCGAGAACGAGAATGTTACAGATTCCTTTGCCGCTCGAGCTTGTTAGACCAGAACTCCGCAGATTTTAATAGACAACTAGGCAAAAGGGATATTTCTTGCTAGTTCGTGCTCTTAGCTCTTTCAAAAGAAACTGCTATATAATTCGCTTTTTATTTGACTGCAGTTTATACGGCGTGATTATTAATGAATGTGAGCAAATTCAAAAGTATTTCAAAGTAGGAAAGTGCTTGTATATAAAATGCAACGGTACTCCCGAGTTCTTTACCGCTTTCAGAAATACAATAATCGAATTCTGCTCGCCCGGTCCACCGAAATTGCCACTCATGCCGGCTGCGCGATTTTTCAACATTCGACACGATCCAGAATTTGCGCGCGGATTTCGCGCATTTATTTTTACTTCCACTCGGGCAAGCGTACGCGCAAGCATGCAGAAATATTGCGTCGTGTCCGAGCACGATTAACGGCTGCTGCATAAGCAGTAATACGTGCATTATTGATGCCGCGGCAAGTATCGTCGGCTGATTGATAAACACGGCTCGCGGGAAATTATTAATTTACGATGTCTTCGGGAAAGGCGGCGAAAAAATCAATTACATTTCGTTGAATTTTTCCACGCTCATAGATACGTTTCTGGTCTGGCAAAATAAATTAATCGACTGCGCGCACGCGTCAAGTCTTTTTACGCTGTTGAGAAAGAAAGAAATAAACCGTCGGCGAAGCTGGAAACATACGCCTCAAGTCATAACCGACGAAGTCGATACATAGAGAGACTCGGCAATTCCGGTTCTTACATGGGTACGAGGGAGACGAGGGAGCAGCCATGCACAATACGCAACAAGAACGATAATCCGACTAACTTTTAAGCGACACTCCGCTCTTTTACTCTAAATGGGATCTAAGCAATTACCCTTCGAGAACTCCTTAATGAAAGCGGGAGTAGGGACGCACGGAGAACTATTGAAATACAAACGTCGATTAAGCAACAGGGACTATTTTAGGTGCATTCGCTCTCCGACCTACATCGATCAAGATCAAAAGGGCTGACCCGTTTTGACCCGATCATCAATGAACGTACTCTCAGCATAAATTCCCTTCATCTTCGATCGTACGTTTATTCTCAGCCATTGTCCGGCCATCGGGACGTTGAAGTGCGAGAAGAAACGATAAAAGCATTGGGAAATGAAAAATGTAAGCGTGATCCTCGGGACGAGCTATCGTATTCCTTCGGGACGGTAATCGATGTAACTTTTCGCGCTCGGAGAAAACCCTTGGCGTCCCGTAATCGTCACAGTGATAAGAAGCATCTTATCATGGCGTCATGTATCTCTGATATTTTTCCCGGATTTACTCTCTTCCCCCACATGCCTCCCTTTGTGGATATTCCGATTTCCCCTCCGACAATTTTCGTCGCACTGGACCCTAGAGCCGGCCGTTCGCGCCGTTCGGTCGGATTGCTGACGGACGGACAGACGGGTGCGCGAGATCGGTAGAGGATACGGAGACACGGAGGACGCCGCGACGCTGCGCGTCCCGCAGAATCACGATCCGCACTGGTACGCCATCGAGCGTTAGAGAAACTTCAGCAACCCTCCGACATCCCGGCTCCCCACTCTTTCACTCACCGACCGAGCGCCGTATACACGTGCGAGGGTACGTGTCTATATGTGTGCACGTGTGTGTGTGTGTGTGAGTAAGTTCCTACGTGTACAGGCGTGTGCGTGCCCCATTCGTTCGTGTTCGTGTATGTGTACGCGTGTATGCGTGTGAGCGTCAGGAATACCCACACCGACGCGCGGACGCCATTCCGACCACGGTTCTCCAGCGACGGACTTCGCGCGCGCACACAGGGTTGGTCGGGGATGTACGATCGGGTGCGCGAGCGCACCAGGGGCTAGCTCCCTTCCTCCATCGCTACCCTCCTCCCTCTCACCGCCACCACCACTACCGGCACATCGACACGCTTTCCGTCTTTCTCTCAAGCCCGAGCGAACTGCGCGCGACCATCCCTCTCGCGCGCGCGGTGTTTTCTCCTCCGTTATCCCTCTCTGTCTCCTTCTTTTCCCTCCTTTTTTGTTCTTCGGAGAGAAGGACCTGTGTGTGCCACATGACAATTTCGAATGAAAACATCGTCGAGTGGCTACTAAACCCGTTTAGTCGGTAGGGGAGAGGATTCGGCAAGTAGCGGAGACTCGCTATGGCCGATAACAAGCGCGCAAACATCCCCAGGTTGAAAAGGCGGCTCTAAACGACGTAGCTTTCCGGATATTTGAAACCGAGAAGAGTGCTGTCTCTTCGATTTAGCCGGCGCGAAGTCAGTGAGCGACGACACGGTCCACCGGTGGTCGGCCGGTATCCCGCGGCTGATTATCTACCGATGAGAATAAACGAGGACGACAGTGATAAATTGATAATGACGCGTCGACTCTTGAAGCGCGATGTGCACGGGCCATGTATCCCGTTGGGTCGGGAATTACGCGGGCAAGACTTTACATCCGAGCGGAATAACAAGCGCAATAACGATAATAATAAATCAAATTTATCGCGCGACAAAGGCGAAGAATTTGTTAACTGGAGAGACAAAAAGCGCAAAAAGGAGAGAGAGGGAGAAAGAGAGAGGGGGAACGAGAGACAGCGGAGGCAACGGGGAAAGAAGAAACGTAGGGGAATAAATCGTTCTCTCGCGGAACGTAGCAGCGGGCCTGGCTAACCGGTTACGATACGGGAAGCGCGGGATGTGTGCCGTGGTCGCGCATGCTGCTGGCACGGCGAATAAAACGAGAATAATTCGAGCGCTATTGGATAACGTATCGCGACGCCGAGCTGAGAGAACGAAGAGCGCCGCGTATAACCGCACTCTCCAGTAGCGCGAGCCATACCTGGAAATTGGAACTCCGGCTTGTCCACGGGAGTCGGAGCGAGGTCACGCTAGGGCCACCTAATCCAATGTTTTACAGGTTTACTGATTGCGGTGGAGCGCTGTACGACGCGGCCCTCGAGAGAGAGAGACGGTTGGACCACCGACCTACCACCCCTCCGGTTCTACCCACACACTCTTCATTCACCCTGCTCATGTCATCCTACCTGCGCGTCCATCCCTCTTCGTTCCCATCTTCATCGCTCCGTTCCTGTCGCGCGCGGACGTTGCCCTAATTCTTCGACAAATAAATGCATCATTGGGTAGCGCCGTAGATTTACCAATCAAACCGAAATGCCTGCTTCCATACAGGACAGCGAAAGCCCCGGCGCGGAAGCCGTGCGGAAACCCGCACACGATTTGGAATAGCAATGAAAACAGACCTTTAAATCTGCCCGTATCTCGCTCGACGGTCCTCCACGTCTCGCCGATGATTCCCGAACGCCCGGACCTTTTCAATCGGTCAACGTTCCATTAGTGACTCCGCGATACGCTCCAAACTTCTCTTTTTCAATCAACTCATTCAATCACTCATTAACATAAAATCATATATACATATATATATATATATGTGTGTGTATATATACATACATACATCTGACTGAGTCAAATGGAAATTTACATATGCCCGAGAAACGAAATTGAAGTCAAAGAATTCTTTATGATGTAAATTTTTCAACAGAATTCGAGGTAAAAGAAAGCCAAAGACAATTCCAATAATGTCGATATTATTGAAATTAATAAATTAAATATTGTGTAGTGGGTATTCTGCATTATGTGCATTAATATTCTTGCGTCTGATCTAATATCGCAAAAATAACTCTTGTTGCTCACACGTTGAAACAATTCGTTACTTTCTTAAACGCATCACATCATCACGCGCTTGCCATCGATCCCGTGTAACTTCAAGAAGGGCAATTACTTTAGTCGTGTTCTCTCTCTTTCTCTCTCTCTCTCTCTCTCTCTCTCTCTCTCTCTCTCTCTCTCTCTCTCGCATCGAACGATATTTCCCTTCATCAAACGTCCCGCCGTGTTCGCGGAACCGTCTCGCATCAAAGATTATTAACGAACGCCATCGATGAAAGAGACGCGCTTCGTTAAACCCATCGTGTTCATTAATCCGATCGCGAGAGAGGTTACGTGCGAGAGTTTATAATAAAACTCTCTCTTCCCAGGCAGGAGAGCAGGAGACTTCCATACAGGATAAGTGGCGGAATCTCGTTTCTATAAATTGAAAGTATCGAAAAAAGTGGAACAACGCGGAAACGCAAAAAGGAGAGAACGATAATGGCCGCTTCTTGCATCGCGCTGAACGCTGCGTTAAGTTCGCGGGTAGACGGGTGGCGGATAGATGGGATGGATAGATGGATAGATGGATGGATGAATGGATGGCCGGGCGGACGGCCTGGACGGACGGACGAATGTCCTTGCGCTATCGATTACAAGGATGGCTTGTACGACAGACAAGGAAAGAGCGGTAAAGTGATGCAGACAAATGGTAATGTCATTATTTTTATCTCGGTGATGGCGAAATACAGGCCGAGAAACGCAAGTACTTCGTCTAAAATGAAAGGCAGAAAACCACGGCGAATCGGGGAGGGGGAGATGTGTAAAACTAATGTAATTTTTTAAAAGTACAATTACTTCCAAGTTAGGAGACGTATCACCTTTAATTACGGATCGTATTGAATTTCTATAAATAATTTCCTATCGCAATTTCCTATTCCGAATAATCGTTTTCAGTGGCGAGCATATATTTCAGGAAACTTACAGCTTATATTCTTAGATTCCTTTCAAAAAAGTTAAATTTATAAATAACGAGTAACGTACGAGTGCGTAACGAGTCTTCATTTGTTTCGGATAATTCTGGATCGTTTTTTGTAACGAGAGGTACGTATTAGTATTATGTTCATTTTAAAGGAGAAGAACTAGAGTTGTATATCATTTTGATGTCTCGCGGTTTCTCCTGATATGCAAAAATGATAGATCCCAGTGCGGCGGTTTACCCAAAGGGCAAAGAATAATATGCGGTCGGAATATATTATGAGTCGCGAAAAAAACGTATAAAGCAAATCCTAAAAGACTTTATTGAATAACGTGAGAAAAGTCTCAAATAATAAACTTCTTCATGTATATACTCATTTCTATAAAATAATTTTATATATATATATATATATATATATATATATATATGTATATATATACATATAAAG